GGTTTCTTGCTTACAAATTCAAATTGCCTATTCTTAATAATTAGGAAGTTGAAAATAGTTCAAAATTATTTGATTTCACATACGCTTGTTTTTTGTTCCCATGTGCAACTTTTTTGGGGGGAGTATTTAATTAGTATTTCATATACTAAATTTTTTTCTTTGGGCTAGCTTTGTAAGTAATCCTTTATTTATCTCATTATTTTATTATTTTTGTATTAAGAGAAATATTATTAATTTATTCTTTCATTTATTAATTTATTAGCATGTTCATTTCATTTGTTATTATCTTCAATATATATAGATTTTATGTTATTCCACATTTCACTTTTTTATACATATTTATCCACAATGGATTTCATATTTTAACAATTTAAAGTTAACTAATTAATAAGGTAATAAACAGTGCCTATGGATTAGGTAGATCAGATTTGGCGGTTCACATTTGCGTGCTGCCTCCACAGATATCTTAAGTGAAAAATAGACTCATGATTACTTGGCTTTCACCAGTTGATATTACTATTTAACAGCTTCTTTTTTCTTTTGTTTTAATACTGACAGGGGTGCACACAGGTGACTTTTGTGGTGCAAGTTGCGCCATCAGAATTTTTGGGGAGCACATAAAGTTTTCAGTTTTAAGAGAGAATTTAAACCAGGAAATATAGAAAAAAAAAAAAAGGAACTGAGGCTTGTGTGTATATACAAAAATATCCAAGGACGCTGCATACTTGGAAGAGCGGCAGATATGAATTTATCCTAAGTACTCAACACAAGCGGAGTGTTGTCTTCCGTATTTCCAGTTTCAGTATTAACTCAAAGGGCGCCGCTTGTTTGAAATATCAGTATGCAGTACCTTTATTGTGTGAATATAATAAATACAACTAATGCCTTGTCTTTGGCTATAGTACACGGATACAAATTTAAAATAAACTAGCAACAAATAAAAAACTTATGAAATATTATCATCAGTGATCTGAAGGATGGTAACCCTAGATTGATAAAGAATTAAAAAAAGAAAATTACTTACCTTTAACTTGATGGATTTACTGCTGTTATAGAAAAGAGGAGATTTTGGTCCTGATTCCTTTTATATAGTTTCTCTATTCCATTGCACTAGGTACATACATACAACTCAATGCAAGACCATAAATTCACTATAAATTTCTTTTTATTTTCATGTAATTAGCAACAGTTTTAGAGTGCCCCAGATCATTGCAGCCAATATTAAACATACAAATCTTAAATAAATTTCTCAACTTGAACACATTTAAGAGCTTTTCAATGCTAATCACAGGCAGCATAAATACCCCTTAATATATACACACTTGATTAAGTTTAACTTGGAACAGTTTAAGCACTAAGAATAGGTGGAGTTGGTATCAATAATAAAAAAGCTTTCTATTAGTCTTTGGTTTTCATTATCTCAGGCTTAAAGTACCAATAATTTTTAAAACAAAGCCCCCATTTGATTTTAATTTGTTAATTCTATTTTTTATTTTTTTTTATGATACTCAGAAACTTCAATAGTAAAATGTTGATATCATTTGCTGTAGCTAATTTAAACTTTACTGGATGACCATTGATAAAGGCTCATCACTCAAAGAATTATTCATTTCAAGGTTGTTGCAATAAAAAAACTATCAGCATTATGGTGTAGTAGATTGATTTGTAATTTGTAATGGATTTTCAATATTTTGTCAAAAATTAGGTTTCAATTATACATTCACACCTGTTGATGAGCCCTCTTTTATCTTGGTTAGTATTATTTTATCAGCTTACCCAAGTCTGGTTACAATACACCAATATAAAGGTGAAGACCGATAGTTCGTAAATTGAAACAAACCACACCTGGTAGCATGTTTTATTCATATAATAAAACGTGTTGTTGGCTTATTGCAAAAAGTCATTAAGTAACCTTAAATCATTAAGAATTTTGATGATTTTTTCCCTTTGTAAAACCAGAAAATTGTGCGCTTGTAAATACTTTCAATATATAAAAGTGTTTGTTATTTTTTTTAACTGCATTTACTGTTTTGTTTTTTTAAATAAATAAAATCGAAAATCACAAAAACGCTCTTAAAAGTCCAGCACCATCAATTATTATACTATTATTTAATTTTTTTTATTTTGGCTTTATGCATGGCCATATTAGCCTGTACACTAATTCAAATATAACGATGTAATACTACTTACAAATATCATGTAGAACAGTTTACTCTATTGTAAAAAAATTTAAAAGGCACCTTAATAAATATATAGGAAAAAATAAGTAAGATTGAAGCCACAAATCAAGCCTTTTATCATCAAGCTCTTAGGACTTGAGTCTTGGCTGAGTCGGGAAAGCTTGAGCCTTTTCGGCTCAAGCCTTATACCCTTCTGAGAGGACTCTTTTAGAACTCTACTTCAGGTACCTGTCGAGCCGATAAATATTTTAAATACAAAGTAATTATTTTTGACCGGTAGGTTCTTGGATTAGCAATGAGTTCAGTCCTTGCAGTGGCTTATTTTTTAATAATTTAATTACTAAACAATTAAACATTAAAAATATATATATATATGATTTATTTTTTATCGTAAAGATTTTTTTTTTTCCTACACCTGTTGACTTTGACTTTTTAAGTCATGAGTCATCTTCAGCAGGTTGGGGCTATTATAGGTGACAGTAGTGATAGTTTGGTTATCTCTTCTTTGAGATATCCAGGGAGCACGTGGTTTACTAACTGGATGCGATAACATTTCATTCCCATGACTCTTCATCAGGAACTTTGGATCTTTGGCAATCTTTTGCTTTAATCTTCCACCCAGTTTTTTTATGAGATAGGGGATTATCAGCCCTATACTCATTCCCCAACCTGGAAGACCAGAAGTAATGGTGTGAAACACAGGGGTCGCTCACCTCCCTATGAATCTCAGGGTGAGGACATTACCATGCGGGAATCGAATCCTGGCCATAGTAGTGTAAGGAGGCGAGTAGGACCTGCACTTATTAATTTTAATTTATAATTAATTTTTTTTTGTCTTATTAATTCCTGCGAACGGTATTTGAACACTTAATCTTTGCAGGTGTCTTTACTTGTTCGACTACCGCAGCCTCTATTGCAAAGTAAGATAATCACACAGAAATTTTAGAACAGTTTGATAAATATCATAAAATGAATCAATTTCTAATAGAAAAGACAGAAATTTGAAACAAATTAAACTTTAACTGATAATTTAGATATAAAAGGGTATGTAGAAAACAAATAATACAGGAAAGCCTGGTTGTAATTAACACTAGGAATGAGGTCTGAAGTAGACTTAAGTAGTGTACCTTTTTTTTTTAGTTATATTCTCAAATATTTTAATGACAAAGAGGGTGCAACAACAATAATGAATGAAACTTTATTGTAGTTGTTATTAATTTAATGATGTATTGCTATAAAGATTATTTTAAATCATTTCTGTTCATCAATCATAACAATGTCTCAATATGCTTAGCTAAAATATAATTAGAAAATCGTTAAACATCATTGTTATAATTTTTAGAAAAACTTTAGTTCTGAAGATCATTATTAATGCCCCAAAACAATAACTGTGACTCAATAGATCATTTTTAACAAATAAACAAGAGCATACTGGAAATTTTATTGCCTTGATTTTCTTCAAAACATGAAATAACTTCACAAAAAAATTTAAATAAAACAAATTAATTTTACAAATATTCTCCACATTGTGGAAACCATAAAACTAAAATGGTTTGAACATTTACTGAGGATGGAAGAGAGAAATTGGCATAAATGGAACTTTTAATGGAAACTGAAAATAAAAAGGAACAATGGTTACCTTTAAACAAAGTTTGTACTACTTCTTCCTCAAATAATAATGAAAACATGGTTAATAGAAGAATATAAGAAAAAGATTAGGAATATAAAGAAATATAATATTTTCAGGGGGATGAGAAATAATTTATTTAAAGAAGTGCTGCTCTTCTATATAGGGTTGCTTAATACACAGCATACTTATCAATGCCTTTTTAGAAATAACATTAACACATACCTTAATTTTTGTTTTATGTTTTTCCTCGTTTTTCATATGTATGTTTGTATGTATATATATATATATATATATATATATATATATATATATATATATATAACCTCAAAAATATACCACAAAAAAAAAATCCAATGCTAAAATTACAAGATTACAATACACACATAGCAAGAAATAGATATAGGTTTTTTTAAAAGAAAAGAAATTAAAATTGAATTAATAAATAAATATCCTCACTTACACAAATATAAACAATACAATTAATTGCTAAACAGATGATAAAAGATGAAGGCCAAGGAGTCTAGAATAATATTCTCAGTCAATATCTCAATCTCCCCAACATCAACATCAAGTTCCTTGAGGAAGCTCCTTATTCTCTTAGAATCATTATGTGAGATGCAAACCAGAAGTCTCTCACAGTGAACTCAATTATTCTTCGAAGATTTAATGTAATTTCTCTTTTAAGAAAGAGATACATTTTTCATATATGTACTTCTTTTCCCTTTCTACTTCACCCACCTTATCAATTAAATTGTTCTAAAAACGAACCGTTGGATCCAAGACCCACTCTTCGAAAGCCTAGATCAAACCTCAGTCTTTTTTCACATGGTGATTTCTGCTTTATAACCAAATGTTGACTAGAACAAAGCTTCTGGTATATTAGACAGTTGCTGGGCAATGGACAAAGCTGCAAAGGAGCTTCCCATTGACAGCAGATCAGTCTTAAACCTCGTATGTACGTACAGCAGGAGCCCCACAATGGCCTTGATACTCTTGATATTGGTACCAATGTCTTCTAATGTCGCTTAGATGTATCTTTGTAAAGGGTGCAGTCTGAAGAGGGTAGGTTAACCCCAAGACATAATTTATGTTTTAGGAGTAGTAATAGAATAAAATAAGTTCTTGGAACATTGATTTTTTTTTTAAGTACAAAAAAAATTATTTATTTCATGAATAACTAATTTTTACAGGTTGTTTGATGCTAGCCAAATAAACAAAGAAGATAGAGCAGCAGTTGAAAACTTATTATCATCTCATAAGGATTCCTTTCTTCCTAAGAATGCATCTAGAGCATCTTTGGCTGCTGCTCCCTTAGCTGCATGGGTGATTGCAAATGTAAAGTATTCTATTGTTTTAGAAAAAATTCAACCTCTCACTGAAGAACAAAATCAACTAATGACGTAAGTATTTTTTCCTTTTATTTATATTTCAAGTTATTTCCTTATGTTAATAGGATCCATTTAGGGTTTTCATATTTAGTTCTTTACAAACATTTGTCAGTCACTGTTATTTATTATCACTTCTCCTTGCCTTCCCACTGTTTTGTAACTACTTTATTACCTACTCTTGTGTTTAAATTCACCAACCAAAGCAAAACTTTCCTATCAGCTATATCTTCTGTTAATTACTGTAGGTGATCATAATATTTACCTTTCTCTTCATTTTTGGTATCATCTGTTGGAACATAGATACCTAAGACTTTCATCAGCAATCTTACCATTGTTACGCACTGAATCATTTATTTTCTAACTTCTTTTATTTTAATATTTCATCACGTTTAATTTATCTAATCTATTACAGCATCTTCCCACCAAATACCGATTGTACTCTCATAAATCCTACTCATGTTTATTGTCCTAACCATCTGTCACATCAATTCCCAATCCCTTCCAGCTTATTACGATGAATTCTGAGATTATTTTACCCAAAACTTTTACCACATCATTACGATTTCCGAAACCTGGCTCAAACCTTACATCCCATCCTCTTCTGTTTCCCTTCCCAACTACATACTAATCCGTCACGGCCAGAACAGCCAGACTGGCGAGGTGTAGCTATGTACGTTCATGAAAGCCTGAAGAACCGAACTCTCCATTGTTCCACTCCATCCGATCAGCCTCAAGTCGAGTTCCTAATTGTTGAGATCTCATGTAACACCTCTTCTCTCCTCTATACTGTAGTATATCGTCCTCCTCTTCAACTTTGTTCCTCTTCATTCCAAAATTATCATTTCCAGTGACTTAAACAATAATCTCCTTTCCAACTCCAGCTACAAATCATAACTCGAAAACCTTTTTTTCTCTCTTCACCTATTTATCGTTCCTTTTTCTGCCACTCATCACATCGCTAGGTCCGACACTTGGTTAGACCTGTACATTATTGATGCTGCTAAGAGCTTCCTTTCCTCTTCCCAATTACCAGTCTCCTTCCTATCGTTGCATGATCTGATTCAAATAACATACAATACCCAAACTCCTTCAGTCCTACCTAGAACCATAACATTCCGTAACCTTGATAACCTAACTTGAGAAAAAGTCTTACCCTGCCTGGAAACCATAGATCGGAGTAGATTATATTCCTGTTCCACAATTGATGCCGTGGTGGATATCCTCACCTCCAATCTTCTTAATACCCTTGAAGCCCATGCTCCCCTCAAAACTTCTACCATTCCAGTCCTCCCTGGATGTGTCAGCAAATTAAGGAACTCCAGAAGAAGCGTGATGCTGCCCGTAGACGCTTTAGACGTACTAGGCTGGCCGACGACTATCAAGCGTTTAGGGTGCTCCGCAACCTGACACAAACCACAATTCGACGAGCCAAATCGACCTATTTCCATGAAGCCCTTTCATCAGCTCCCAATTCCAAATCCAAATGGATACTCCTTCGTAAACTCTCCCTCTGTGAATCTTCCAGATCCTCTCCCTTAGCAGTATTTCTAATTTCACCAAATGATTTAAACTCATATTTTATAATTGCTTCCTCTTCCACGCCTCCTTTTAATGCTTCCTTCTCTACTCCCGGTACATCCTTCAATGACGACGACTTTTACTTTTCATACATCTTGCCCGCAGACATCATATCCACCTTGATGAAATCACATTCCAATTCTATTGGTCCAGATGGCATTCCAGCCAAATTAATCCAACTATGCCTTCCCGAAACCCTTCCTGTTCTCCTATTCATATATAATTTCTCCCTTCAAAACTCATTATTTCCTACCTCATGAAAGAAAGCCGCCATTCGTCCTTTAAATAAAAATCCTAACCCTTCTTCTCCCAAAGATTTCCGTCCAATTTAAATCCTTTCCAAGCTTTCAAAACCCCTTGAAAGAATAGTGCAATCCCAACTTTCCAATTTCCTTGAACATTCCAATCAACTCGACTCTTTCCAATCTGGTTTTCGACCAGGTTACTCCACACAATCCGCCATAATTAAAATCACTAGTGATATTCAGTCCTCTATAGATGAGTAAAAACTGACCGTCCTTGTACTCCTTGACTTTTCCAAAACCTTTAATATCATAAACCATTCCATCCTCTTTTCTAAATTAAAATCATTTTCCTTTTCCAACAGCGCTATTCTTTGGTTTCAGTCTTTTCTCCCTCAATGTTCCCAAGCTGTCGCTATCCCTAATCAATCCTTGTCTTCCTATCTTAATCTATCCTCAGGAGTGGCCCAGGGCTCTAGTATATCTCTTCTTCGTTTTAGTTCCTATATCAATGACCTCCATAAATCAATCCTCCACTGTTCCCATCACCTCTATGCCGATGATTCCCACATTTACCTTTCCTTCCCTCCCTCAGAGTTGTATGATGCATTTGCCAAAATCCAAGAAGATCTAAATCGGATCAGCGACTGGGCATACATCAATGCATTAAGATTAAACGCAGATAAAATGCAGGCTATTTTCATTGGTTCCAAACCAATACACCCTCCTCAAATCCAATACCAACATTCCTATTCTGTATCTAAATAACCATCCCATCACCTTCAGCTGCTCAGTTAAAAACCTAGGCATTTTCATTGACCAAATCCTCTCCTGGAATCACCATATTTCCCACATTTCTCGGCGGTTAATTTGTACCATTAAACTATTCCATCGCTTCCGCCATCTCCTTCCTATACCCACACGTAGACTCCTAGTATCCTCCCTCATCTTCCACCACCTTGACTACGGCTGTGTGGTGTACGGCGATCTCTCGGTGGAAATCAGGGACAGACTAAAAAGAATTATGAATAGCTTAGTAAGATTTGTAGAAGGGACCCTGAGACGTTCCCATGTTTCTCACTACTATGCCCAGTTAGGGTGGTTCTTCCCCTCCTTCAGAAGACAATACTTCCTTGGCACATTCCTTTATCAAATAATCAACAACCATCGCCCTCCTATGTATACAATCTCCTCTAATTTAAGTCATCTATCCATTCCCTCTTCACTAGATCTCGGCCTTCTGACCTTGACACCCCTTTCCATAGATCTGCTTCATTTCAACATTCCTTTATTGTCCGCTCCTCCACCTTTTGGAATTCCATTCCACTTAAAATCCGCCATGCACCATCCTTATCCACATTCAAAACCCTGTTATTCAAATTCTTCTTCACAACCCAATCAGACGCTGGTTAATTATGTATGATCAACAAGGATGATCTTTTTTTTTTTCATACACCACTATTTTATTTTATTTTTTGTTTATTATTTGTGAACTGGAAAGATTCAGTATTACTTTTGGCAAAGCACTGTGAGGTGATGCATAAAAAGTAAGAGATTGTTTGTTGTTTTTATCCATTTTTCTTTTTTCTATCTACAAGATTGTGTATATTTTAGACGTATTTCATTTCTTATATTCCTCAATTTGTATACATATATATCTTTCTATTGCTTTTTCTTTCTATACATGTAATTCTTTTTTCTTTTTTTTTCGTTTTCTTTTTGTTATTTTTTTTCCAGTAAAATTATAAATATAGTTGAGAAGATTTTATTTTATTTTTTAGTAATTTACATTCTATTATTTAAGTTGTTGTATATATTGTTTGATCTTTATTGAGTTAGTTTTTGACCAGATGTGTATTTTTTTTCTTTTGTAACTGTACATTATTGTTATTCTAAGGGGACATTGTCCCAGAATAAAGTTTATTTTCTATTTCTATGTTTAAGAAGATTACCAGGTGCCCAAACATTGTTATATTAAGTTTAATAAATCTTTCACTTATACACTCAAAATCTATCACGTTTTTTCAACATTTTTTTCTGCAGGAATATCGAAACTCTATTCTTTGCTCTTTCCTGCTTTACGACCCCGCTAAAGAAGTGGATCAAATTTCTATGCGTTTCAGTTCCCTGTTCTTTCAGTTTAGTTTCAGTAAGCAGAACTACTTCAATCTTTAAGGCATTCAGCTCTTCCTTTACTTCAATCTTTTTATATTTAAACCAAAAATATTCTCAGTTATGTTGCCATTTCCAAATAATTTATCTGCTGAGGTGAATAAAGAAAAAACAAAGGTGGCAGTCTGGCCAGAGACAGCCACCAGTTAACACCTTTGTACTTTTTTCTTTTGTTTTAGTTTTTATCTATAGAAATCATAGACATTTTAAATTTCCTCTTAATTCTTTGAGAATTGAAGATATTGACGTTTTATAAACTATCACGAGCTATGGGACTGTGGTAAACAACTAAGCTCTGGAGGATTAAGCCCTATTGGTCTTAAACATCATAACAACCAGTCTTGTTATTATAGATATGGTCTATTTACTCATTGCTCGTTATGCAGTAGCACCATCGCTCAACATTAAAAAAATATTTTATACAGCAGGTGCTTTAAACTTAGTGATAAAGAGTTTGAGACTCAAAAAAATTATGCATCTGTTATGGTTGCGATCAGCCTAAAAAGATTACACCAGGCAGTGAAAACCCTGATCAAAGTTGCATCTCTGAGCCATCACCATCAGAAATTCTGGAAGCAGTAAAACAGTTTGATAATTATTTTAATGAGGAAATTAAAAGCATTAAATCATCTCTGGATAAGTATGGAGACCTGAGCTTCATATTCAATACCATACTATCTAAAATTGAAAACCACTTAGAGGGACAATCCAAGCATCTAGAAGTAATAATTTCTGAAAATAAAGCCCTCAAGTCTAGAGTGGATAAACTAGAGGTCAGGCTGAATAAAGTCGAACAGTGCCTGCTTAGTAGATCGCTCGAAATCTGGGGCATCTTGGTTCAATCAGGTGAAACCCCCGCAGCCCTGGTTACAAGTATTGGGGCCAGTCTGGGCATCAAGCTTAATGTCATTAAGTCATTAACACTGTGCAGCATCAAAGTGCCAGAAATGATGATTCGTGACCACCGCCTATCACCCCGTGATATGTCAGGCAGTCAATGAGGGATGACCTGGTGCAGAAGCAAAAAGTAAAAAGGGACGTCTCGATGCGGGAAATCGGTTGGCAGAAAAATTACTGCCACCGTATCTATCTCAGAGAGGAGATGACTCCTAGGAATAGGAACCTGTACTGGCTCTCCTGACAGAAGAAAGCAGTGGGAAAAATAAAATATATCTCGTTCTTGGGTGGTAGAGTGCGGTGCCTTTTCAATGCCCATGTCTGATGTTCCTGTCATATATACCCAGCTTCCTAGATACTTAAATTGAGCTTCAAGTTCCAACATACAATTGTCCATTTGAATATATTCGCTTTGGCTATTAAAGGCCATATATACCGTTTTTTCTTTGCTGACTTCCAGCCCCCAGTTCGAGTATTCCTGGAATATTTTTCTCATCATATGTTCTACATCTTCTGCTTCTGAAGCAATGAGCACCTGGTAGTCATCAAACTGGAGATTATATAGACAATCATTTCCCATCTTTATTCCCATATCTCTACATTTGTTCTTCCATTTTCTTAGTGTCCTTTCTACATAAATGTTAAAGAGAAGCGGAGATGGTAAAAATCCCTGTTTTAAACCTTTCGCTATGAGAAAGCTATTACTAACAGAGGTCCCGTTTTTATCACATGCTTTGGCATAGTCATAAAGGCTTTTAATGGCTGTTACAAGACAGGGACTTATATTGAAGTTTTCCAGCGTTTCCCACAGATTTTTTAATGGCACTGTGTCATAGGCTTTTTGCAAGTCCACAAATATTAGGTGTACTTCTTCATTGTGTGCCATTTCTTTCTTTAGGAATTGCCTAATTACAAAGATGTGATCACTGCTGGACCGCCCTGTTCTGAATCCAGCTTGTTCTTCGGTGATTGTGCCATATAACCTACTCATGCTACTGGTCACTGTTATTCTATGATAGTTCGAACAAACTTTTTTGCATCCTTTCTTAAAGATTAGGGTAATGTGACCAACTTTGCATTCTTCTGGTACTTCAATTTTGGTTATGCAGTGAGTCATATACTTTGAAAGGGATTGGTTAAGTTCTTTCGGTAGATTTTTTATTAGCTCTATTAGGACTTCACATGGACCTGCGGTGTTGGAGCCAGGGGTATTTCAAAATCGAAAATACAAAGCTTTCCCCTCAATGGTGGGAAATATGAGCAAAATTAACTATGGGAAAGAAGGGGAAACAAGAGTAGAAGATGAGACCTGTAAAACAAGGTTAAAACGCATGCATATCAAGTAATAAAAAAATTAAAATATTCATTTAATCAAGATAGAAAATAGATAATTCCCCTTTTGAATGTTTACACAGTTATATTGAATACAAAAAATCTTTCAACAACCAGGTTTCTGTTCCATAGCACACCACTGGTATTATCAGTGACTTGTATATTTTTAATTTGGTTTGCTTGGTCAGAAGGCTTGATTTCGTTAGTTTTTGAAGGCCATAATAGGCTCTGTTTCCGCCATGATTCTACTTTTGATTTCATCACTTCCCTTGTTCTTGCTGTTGAACTCCACTCCAAGTTAGGTGAAATGAACAATACCTTCAAAACAATAGGCACCCACAACTAAATTTGTTGTTGGAAATATCGGAAGCAGATAATACCATATATCTGGTTTTGGCTTCATTAATCACCAGTCCAACTTTCCTGATTTCATTATCTAATTGAACTAGCAATTCTTTTAAAGTGCTTTCACTTCTGCCCAATATCACAATATCATCCGTATAACCAACAATCTGCGTTGTATGGCTTGCAAGTTTACCACTCGGAACAATCTCGCCCACAGCTTTAAGGAGGATTAAGTTGAACAGAATGGCTGAAAAAGCATCCCCCTGTCTCACTCCACTTTTGTATGTGATTTTGTGACTAGTTTGATTTCCAATTAGGACCTTCGTAGTAAGGATCCTTTCAGAGTAGATCTTGAGATTTTCCACTATCAGTCTTGACAGAATTTTGTATGCTACATTCAGGAGCATAATTCTTCTATAGTTTTGGCCTTAGGTCTTATCCCATTTTTTATAGATAGGCAAAATCAATCCAGAGCACCAATTGGTCAGCATTTTTTCATTTATCCAAATACTATAAATTAAATCATACATCCTTTGATGCAGTAGATCTCCGCCTATTTTAATGATCTCACAGGGAATATTATCTTCTCCAGGGGCGTGGTTATTTCTTAGTGAAGCTATGGCATCTTCAAAACCCTCATAACAGGGCGGTTTGCAATCAGAGTTCTCCATTGTATTCCTCCTGATGTCTAATCCACATTGTGCTTCTTCCTGAGCTGAGCCGTCTACATTTAGAATTTCTTCAAAATGTTTTGCCCATCTATTTATAACTCCAATCATCGTTCCATTTTTATCCCGGCATACATTCATCTGAGATTGAAATCCATTTCTCATTTGCCTGACTGCCTTGTTGATTTGCTTTGTTCCTTGTTTTCCTTCAGTTCCTCCATAGCTTTAACCTTCTTCTTCATCCACTCTCTCTTCTTTTTTCTACATACATTTGCCGTTTTTCACCTGTTCTCTTGATATTTTTCCCTATTACCTCTTGTATCTTTCTGGAACATTTCTATCTTTATTCTTTATTCTTTTCATTCTTTCAAAAGCATTATTATTATCCCCATAAAATTGGGAATCAGGAAGAATCCATGAATTTAAATGTCTTGGCAGATGGATAACAAAGGATTAAAGCTCCTCCAAGGGCATCATGGAAAAATTACAAAAGAAAGGCAAGAAAATTGGAGCCTTAAATTCTGTATTCTGTAGGCTATACCATTCCTTTATGGAATGCATTACTGTAAATGGATCTGAAGCATTGGTGATCCCCAAAAAGGAGAAGACAAGGTTGCTATCATTGGAGATGGACTTTTGAGACACTGTTGTGTCATTTCCAGACTGTAGTATGTTCCCAACAAAACTATTAGACTGAATGTTCAGGAAGAAATAACTATAATCTACGACACAGAAACAAAAAGGTTAAAATGGTATAGCCATTCACAGAGAATGGCCGAGGACTGATGCCCAAAATTAACTTTTCTCTATCAACAGATAGAAAGGCAAAAAAAAAGGATGGCCTAATAAGAAATGGTTGCAGGGAGTGGAGATAGGCATGGCTGTCAGACTGAGACTGGCTAGATCGAATGAAGTGGCAAGGCAAACAACAAACAACAAAGTTGTAAAAAAATCGTTCATAGAAAAAAAATATTTTTCAAATAGAGTTATTTCCAATGTATTAAAGGTTTTTTGTAACTGCTACTAAAAATTTATTGACTTTTAAAAAAAGCTCATCAAATTATTTATGATTAAACAGGTGTCAAGAACTCAGTTAAACTGATGTTTTTATAAATATTTAAATTATTTTATTTTGTTATAAGAATGCAGATGTGGGACCGCTGTTGTTGGATATTTTGTTTAAAATTCTTTTGTATGCTGAAATAAAAGTGTTTATTTCCAACAGAGTACTCATATTATTTTTCGAAAATCTAGGTATATTTTATAGTTATAAAAGTAGTTATATAATTTGAATCCTAATGGAACAGGTAGTAATATTGTTTTATTAGAATCATAATTATGCTTTTGTTATCAAGGCATCAGTGGAAATACTATAACTCCAGATGATCTATTAGTTTTTTAATGAAAAAGTATCTATCTTTACTTTTGTTTGTTGAACATTTCCTGTGAATATATTTATTTTATTTTTAGAAATATTGAGGAAGCCAACTTAAGTATTGAGGAACTTAAAGCTGGTCTTCAAAATGTAGATGAAACAGTGCAACAGTTGCAAGAACATCTGAGAATTACTACAAAAGAAGGAGCAGAAATTGAAGTTCACCTTTCAGAAGTTCAGAATAGAATTACTGCTGCTGAAAGTCTGGTGAAAAAATTAGATGATGAATTCTCAATTTGGACTGTGGAGGTAATTGTCGCCTGACTTTCATTTATATCTATTATTCCTGCATCTCATACATAATTGCAACCTCCAATATCCACATTTCTACATCCTTACTGCTATTTATTATACAATTAATAATGATGAAGATATTTTTGCAGATATTTATTGGTTATAGATGTAACCAAAGAAAATATGGTTGGTGGGGGTGTATTCAATAAAGGAACCCACAATAAGGTACAATACTGCTTTAATGTGTGCCAACAGTTCAGCTTTCATCAGGGCTAAGCCAAACAAAATACAACCATAAAAGAAAAGAAGAATAAATATAATATCATTATTGTACTGAGGCCACGCCTCACATTAGATCTTTTGTGATATATATTCTCAAACTGGGCGAAGTGGCCTTGGACGACGTTATAACTTCATTTAAAACAATCAATTAGGGTGCAAGTGTATACCAGGGATGCCACTGAATAATATTTAAGGGCAAAATTGTCAATTTGCTGAATTGATATTCAGCCTTGATATTAACCCTTTATAAAGTCTTACTTAAACCTATTTGGATTTACGGCATAGAACTGTGGGGCTCTGCTAAAACTTCCAACATTAAAAAAGTTCAGTCCTTTCAGTCAAAAGTGTTGCGAAGGATAGTTGACGCACCGTTTTATGTCGCAAATGATACACTACATAAAGACTTAAACGTACCTACAATTTTAGATACTGCAAAAGAGAACTACAATAACTTTCACCAAAGACTGACGTACAACATGAATCCTCTGACAGAAATCCTTCATCGTACAAGAAACCCGTACAGACCACTACGATGATTATGTAGGCGTTGGCCAAGAGACTTGCTGATCTGATTTATATCCCGGACTTGATGGGAAGCTGTGAAGCTGCCAAAAAATTTGCTTATTGCAAAGAAATGTGCAGATTGCAAATTTAATCTAATGTTCCACATTTTTTTTTTGGTTAATAATAATAATTTAACAACCTCTTATTATTTTATACTACAAAATCCCTCAACAGGAAATCGTTCATTGATGAGAGAGATGTGAAAACGTATATCTCGATCAGTTTTTTGCTTCTAATTCCCAGATGTTTTACGAGAGCGGAATAATGAAATTATTAGAAAGATGTCTAGAGGTCATTAATAAAACCGGCAAATACATTATAGAATATGTATTTGTACATTGTAGAATAGGTATTGCTGTCATCATAAATACCATGTGCTTTGTATATAAAAATGCCATTTTTTATTGTTTCCTTTCCTTCCTCATCCTTATTTTTCTCAATCCTGTCCCCAGGATCCATAAAGCAATGGCCAGAATTAATGGAGGTGATGGTGCAAGATTCCAGGGAGTCAAAAATAATGGATTCCGCCATACTCTGTATCTCATCCCTTTCAATACTCAGCTTTTTTTTTTAAAAAAAACTAGCAGTTGAAAGAGGAATTGCCATTCTACTTCCAAACCAAAGCCCCTGAACCGAAGAATTTCTCTCACCAAATCCCTCTCAACATTTCTGCAGATGTATTTTAAGGCATTTTTCATTATTGTTGGCCATTTTATTTACAAATGCCACTTGATTTCCAACATTAGTTTGAATGAATTAACTTTACCAGTGGTTTTATTACCTAAACCAATTATTTTAAAATATTTTTTCATGTTTTATTATTCTCTGACTATTCAGGTTTAATAAAATGCCTATTGTGACAAAATTAAACCAAATGCTGAATCTCAGTGACCAAAAAACAAATTCAAGTCAAAATCATGAATCTACCATGTTGGACACCATTTTGGGACAGTGCGTTTACTTTTTTTTTGTTGGACCATTAACTTTTTTTTAATGAAATACTTGCAAGGAACACAATGGTTTGCAATTTATAGGGATGTGGGGTGAGTGCACGGTAGGGGGGTCTGGCTCACCATGTACCACTACTGAGGGTGAAGATGCCATAGACAAACAACCTTTGCCAATACCCACACGTCCAAAGTGGATGAAAACGTGAATCCATATAAACTTGTGAATGGAATAATAAGAAGTTATTGAGAACAGTTGTAACAATGAAGTTAATAATTGTTTGTATTTAATGTAGCACAACAGAATAAAATTATCGTAAGACTTTTATTATCTGTAAAATACAATATTAAATGTTTGAAATAACATGATTTTTTTCTACTTTATTTAATAATTGGATTTAATGTGTGGCCACACATATTATTTTTATTTTTTTTTTTTTTGAAAATAATACAATCAGCCACTGCTGGAGGGCTATAAGCATTAGGGCTACAAGTTCTCATTCATACAATATATACAAATAATAAAGAAATAAATATAAATATAATAAGTAAATAAATAATACTGGTGAAGAAGTTAAATAAAAATAAAATAAAATAAAAATTTCTAAACACAATCATACCTATATAGTTACGTACATAGTTTTAAATATCTTAGTATGGTTTCAAGAGTTTTTTATATAGATTTTTATATTTTATTTTGTATATAGTATGTATAACCAATATTTTTTTTCTTTTCTTTTCTTTAATGACCTATCATTATCTTAATTTGTTATGTTTATTTTTATCTGGCCAGATGTAAAATTTTAATTTCTGTACTTTTTTGTTATTCTGAAGGGACTTCGTCCCAGAATAAAATTATTTTTCTATTCTATTCTATTCTATATACAATATATACATTCGCCCAAGAATCTCCGAGCCAGGCTTTTTCCCCCATACGTGGAAGGCGAAGCAAGACTCCGGGAGATCCCAGCGCCACTTTTCCAGCCGCATCACTAGTATTAGAAGCCAATGGAGACTGAAAGAGGGCACTACAGCCACAGACGCTCAGGACATGAGTGGAGAAGCTGGCCATTGCCAGGACTCCAAAGGCATATTTACAAAAGATCTCGAGGCCACTGCCGTTTCAACCTTCGAGGGGGATGGTATGGATGTTCGGAGCTGGATAGGGATTGCGCTAGAGGATTGGGATGATGAATGAGGTTCTGGTGAAAGTTGGAGAATCTGGATGGGATGATGTCATGGACATATGGGATGTTAAGGTCATGGTGTAGGGTCTTGTTCGTGACATAATATGGAGCATTGACTATTGTTCGAAGGACTTTGGACTGGAAGGATTGGATGCGTTTGATATTCGATGATTTAGTTGTCCCCCACAGTTCAAGTCCGTAGGTCCAGATAGGTTTCAGTATGGTCTTGTAGATTAATAATTTGTTTTCTGTTGAGAGATGAGATGTTCTGTTTAGTAGTCTATATAGCTGACCAAATCGTCGGTTAAGCTCTTGTCTTTTAAGTCTGGTATGTGGGTTCCAAGTCAGTCTTTTGTCCAAAAGGAAGCCAAGGTATCGGACTGTGTCTGAGTAGGGAAGAGGAATTGAATTAAAAAGGATTGGTGGACAGGATCTGCGTCGAAGAGTGAAAGTTACATGCTTGCATTTTGATTCATTAATTTTGATGCGCCAGTTGTTGCACCACTGCTCAATGAAGGAAAGGTGTCTTTGCAGGTTCTGAGACGCTATTAGAGGATCCGAGTGAGAGGATAGGATGGCAGTATCATCAGCAAATGTTGCTAGGAAGGTATCAGGACTTGAAGGGATGTCAGCGGTGAAAAGGATGTAGAGAACTGGGCCCAAGACACTGCCTTGTGGAACACCAGCCTCAATTGGATAATGTTTGGAGAGTTCAGTGCCGCAGCGGACTTGAAAGGAGCGATTTGAAAGGTAGGATTTGAGGACTAGGTACAAGGGTTGAGGTAAATGGGTTTTGAGTTTGAAAAGCAAGCCATCGTGCCACACCCGGTCGAAAGCTTGAGCTACGTCCAGAAAGGCACCAGTGCAATATTGCTTGTTTTCAAGTGCAGAGGATATGTGGTCGACAACGCGAAGGCCTTGTTGGACAGTGGAGTGTCTTGAGCGGAATCCAAACTGATGGGGAGGGATATTGTGGGATTCGAGTATGGGTAGGATGCGTTTGAGAAGGATTTTCTCAAAGATTTTGGAAAGGATCGGAAGTAGGCTTATCGGTCTATAGGATGATGTATAATTAACAGGTTTACCTGGTTTAGGAAAGAGGATAATTATGGAGTGTTTCCACACCAGAGGAAAGTGGGTTGTGCGGAGGATACAGTTGAATAGGTATGTAAGGAATATAATTGCTTTTTTGGGAAGTTGTCTGAGGATCTGGGAAGTAAGGAGATCGTCTCCTGGAGATTTGCGAGGTTTTAGGTTATTTAAAAGGAATTTGACCTCAGAGGGGTTGACGGCTGTAGGAGGTAAGGAGAGAGGAATCGGTGAAGAGAGGAACTCTTTAACTTCAGCAGTATGGGAGGGATGGAGTTCAGGATGAGGAGTGAATGTGTACGATAGATGTTTAGCAAACTCTTCTGCTCTATTCTCATCTGACGAAGCCCAGGAACCATCATCACGGCGGAGGGGGTGGGAAATGGATTGGAATTTAAGGATTTTTTTAGTTACATTCCAGATGGAGTTATCACTTGCAGATAGTGAGGAAAGATAGGAATTATAGGATTGGGATCTAAACGTGGCCAGTTTTTGTTTTACTTGCTTGGAATAATAGTTATATGATTTCCGATCATCAGGATGCCTGGTTCTTTGCCAGATAGCCCTAGAGCATCGTTTTCTATTAATAAGGTCCAGTAGGTCTTGGGGTAGAGGATTTGTTTTGCGGTATTTTTTAGAAGGATCAGGTGAAGATGCAGTCCAAACTGCTTGTTGGATCAACGTAGTCATGGAATGTACTGCTTCATCTAGGTCTGTAGGTGTTTTTAAGGAAACTCTGAGGTCAATATTATCATCCAGCATTTGACGAAAGAGGTTCCAATTAACTGGCCCCCTGATAAATGAAGGTGGAGGTGGTTTGGGAATTGGTGATGTGGAAACCGTTAGGATTAGGGGACTATGGTCTGAGGAGAGATCATCAAGTCTTGAGATGCAATAATTAAGGGACCCTAGACCTTTGTGGATGAAAAAATCTAGGAGATCGGGATTGCGGTTAGGATCTGTTGGCCAGTATGTGGGAGAATTGGGTGAGAGGATGTTGCTGTGATGGGAATTAAGTGCAGCTAGCAATGTTCGTCCTCGGGAATTTGTGGTTCTGGCTCCCCATTGCTGGTGTTTAGCATTTAAATCTGCACCTAGAAGGAAGTGGTGTCCTAAGGAGTTAAGGAAGGAAGTTAATTGGGATTCTGAGATGGGTATTTTAGGCGGGGAGTATGCTGCGACTACTGTTATTGGGTAAAGGGAAGTTTGGATTATCACGGCAGTGGATTGTAGGAAATTATGGGTTGGCAAAGGGAATAGATGATGGGAAACGGATCTATGGATAATTATGGCAGTGCCACCATGTGCTGTTCCATCAGGATGGTCGGTTCGATAAATATTGTAGCCGGGAACGTTGATTTGGCGTTTGTTGGTTAGTCAAGTTTCAGTTATTAGTGCTATGTCGATGTTTTTGTCATGTAATAAGATTGTCAGTTCGTTGATGTGGTTCCGAATACCATTCGCATTCCAAAGGAGAATGGAGAGGAATTTGGTTGATGACATTTATGGATTTCTTGGCAGTGGAATGAGGTTGGATATAACATTGGTAAGTAGCGAAATAAGAGGGGTAATGAGAGATCTAAATTCGGAAAGGAAAGATGTCAGTAGGCTTGTGAGGTCAGTGGAATTGGAAGGAGGAGGAATGAATGTATGAGTATTTAACCTACGTTCGGGGATGGAGGGATATGGGTCTTGAGGTTGATGTGTGAATTCTTGAGGTTTAGGTTCTTGTGGCAGGGCCTGAGATTGAGAGTTTACAGTGTCTCCTTTGAACATCTGAGCATAGGACACTCTTCCGTTCACTATTCTAGAGGGTTGTCTTGGTGGCCTGGATGTCCCTTCTTCTCTAGGCGTTGCGTACATTCGTGTTTTTAAATTTTTGTATGTTTGACAACCCTTGTAGTTGGCTGGGTGTCCTTGGTGGCATAAAGCGCATACTGCAGGTGAAGTTCTTGACTTCCTACAGTCCTCTGTTTTGTGTTGCTCACCACACCTCACACATCTAGGAATGTGATGACAATACCGTTTCGTATGGCCATAAGCCTGGCAGTTATGGCATTGAACGATGTCGCGCTTGCTGTAGGGCTTTTCTACAACAACGCTTGTATAATAAAGGCGTGTGATCTTGTAGATGTTTTCGACATCGGGTGTTCGGTCAAGGTCAACGAAGAATAGTGGAAGAGGTATTTTATTTTTTATTCCAGGCTGTTCTTTATCCTCCTTGAATATGTTCACTATCTGTCGAACATGGAATCCCATACCCATGAGCTCTTCTTTTATAGCATCTGTTGGCGTAGATGGGTGCAGTCTTCTGATAACGACCCTGAGCGCCCTCTCTTGACGCAGTTGATACGTGTGGTAATCAGCCTTGGTGTCAGATAAATATTTTATCATTTTTCTGTAAGTTTCTGGAGTGTCGGGCATTAATTTAGTGTCATTGGTGCGGCTTTGGCATAAATATTTTCCTGAACCTACTAGATTATTCAATTGATGACACATCAATTGAAAGTTTTTAATATTTCTAACAAATATTGGTGGGGGTTTAGGTTCTCTGGGGGTTGATGCTGCTTCCATTTGTTCGTTATTTATATTTGAAAGCACTTCAAATGGATTCGAAGTGAAAAACGGCGATTCTTCGCCCATAGCTTGAGTTGTCTCACAATTGTTAGGTTGTTGTGAGGAGCCAGGTTGGGGTTCAACTTCTTCTATGGAGCTCCCTGGTGTGGCTGGTGGAGTGTTTCTTTTTGAATGCCTTGTCTTTTTTTTAATGGGAGAACTAATTGTAGTATCGAGGCTCCTGGACCTAGTGTTTTTGCCCTTACTCGACATTAGCATGTGATAATATCGCATTTCATATTAATTTTTTAAAAGAAAAATTGATAAAAGTGAGGCGATGAAAAAAATAAATTTTTATTGAAGACGAAAATATAGACGCGCGCTTGGAGAACGCAGGTCTGCTTCCGACGAAGGGCTCCAGCCCACTAGTCAGATTAACGATGTGTATTATGGCTGGCCGTTATCTAACTAACCTAAGGTCTATTTACACTGTTCACTCTTGTGTTGTAAATAAGTGATTACTCACCTTATTTTTTTGTCCAGTATCAAACGTAATTGTTAATGTAACTGATAACACTAATTGTTCACATTAAGCTTGTGTACTGCCACTGATAATTGAAATTTTTTAAGAGACGAACTGACGTATGTTTAACTAGGGCTAACGCATGCGCAGAACTCTGACACATATTATTAGATAAATGAACAAAAGTGTGAGTCAAGAATATAATAAAGACACCTTTTTCTGAAAATGACATTTTACAAAAAATGTTAAAATAGCTGTAACTGTAGACTGGTTGTAGATTAATTTTTCGAGTTTTTGGAGTTTTTAAGATATAAGCAAAAATCAAAAAATTGTGACCTTTCCTCTCCCCTCGCCTTCCTTGGCTCACCATCTAGAAATCAGGACTTTTGATATGTCCACACCCTAAGCACCCGGAACAAGTTTCTTAAGGAATCACTTAGGTCCCTGCTTACGCACTCTACACCCCTTTTGGGCCATTCATTGACTGAATTATTGGGTCATTTCCTCCACTGTATTTCTAACTCCAACATGTATTTTTGAATATGAATACTTGATAAATAAAAATCATTACAGTATATTTTTTCTTGTTTACATAGAAACCTTTGATGCTATTAAGTTAATCAGATGCACTCATTCATATACTCCTTAGGTGTATTAGACAGGCAAGTATATTCCAAATTCAACTCAGATGAAGCTGTGAGGCACAGCTACAATATTACAGTACAATCAAACAATTAAAACATGTGATTTCAAAATATATTTAAAATTAAAACTCAAATGTTTCTAGGATTATTATTTTTCAGGATAATGTGATCTCGGGTACTTTAACTGACCTGTGGAAATCATGTATTTTAGCAGCAGCTTTTATCACATATTTACCCAGTGAAACAGAAAAAGTGCGAAGGTAATTTTTAAGAATGTTATGTTAATATAAATTTGTTGCAATGCTCCTTCAGTAATATTATTTGTCTTTTATTATAGTGATACTTTGAAACAGTGGAAGGAGTCATTGAATAATCCAGAGGAGTTTTCAATTTGGAGTTTCTTAAGCTCTGATCGTGAATTATTAATATGGAATCATGAAGGCCTTCCAAGAGATGAATTTTCTTTCCAAAATGGAATAATCACATTACATGTAAGGGGAGATATAATTTCCAATTATTAAATTATTAACAATGCCACTAAAGGAATTTATTTATACCATACAGATAACTCTAACTAACTTTTATTATAGTCAATATAAATTTATAATAAGTTTATTATAGTCAATATAAATTTATAATAAGTTTATTATAGTCAATATAAATTGACTAACTAACCTGTATGAAGATTTTGCACAAACCATAGGTTTTTATCAGAATTGAATTCATTTGTGGTACAATACAGCTTTAATTATTTACATTCAGTAATATTTGTACATCCAAGAATTTAATAAATCCAGGAATGATTAATCTCCCCTCCCTCCTTAGCCAAGGATTCATTTTCCTAAAAAATTTCTGCAATATAATGTGAATTCTTTCTTCACTGATTGTTTGTCACAGTAAAGAAAACATAATTAACTATTTTTATAGCTACTGCAGTTAAAATCCTTTAACGAGGATCTGTTAGAGGAAAATTCTGGTGCCAGCAACTGTATTTTTTTTTTATAGAGTTGCAAAAAAAAAGTAAACTGATATAAGGATTTTTTTATCTGATTAATTGTAGATTTTACTGTTGTTTATTATATTGTTTATATCTCATTTGCTATTTCTGTAATTAGTTTTATGTTCCAGTCATTAACATTTCCATTACTCTTGGATCCTTTATCAACTGCAGTCACTTGGCTATTAAACCATTTTAAGAAACTGGATATCACTATAATCTCTTGTCATAACAATAACTTCTTAACAATGTTGGAATTAGCTGTAAGGTAAGTTTAATAATTTACTATATACAACTCAGTGTACTTACCTAAAATTAATTTAGTATATGTAGGTGGTAGTTAATAATAATAATAATAATAATAGTAATAATAATAATAAGGCTTAGCAAACCCGAAGGTTCGATGCCGATACCACCAATCGATGTCCACATTTTTCCATCCACTGGGCTCCATCTAAACCCAACCCCGCCAAATCAGCCTTAACGCAATCTACCCACCTTCGCTTTGGTCTTCCCCTCGGACGCTTGCCAGTCGGTACAGCGCATTTTAACTTTTTAGGAATTCTTTTGTTACTGTGCCCAGCGATTTTACATGCCCATGTTATTCGCCTCAACTTAATCACCTCAATTATATTAACCGGCTACCGTTCATGCAATTCAGTGTTGTGTAACCGCCTAAATTCTTCGGTTGACTCGTCCTTTTTCGGTCCGAATATTCTGCGCAATACTTTATTTTCAAAAACTTGAAGCCGTTGTTCATCCCTTAATGTAAGCGGCCACGTTTCGCATCCATAAAGAACTGTAGGTAAGATAATCGTTTTGTAAATTCTAATTTTTAAGTTTCGGGACAGGAGGCGAGAACTAAGTAATTTTGTCAAAGAAAAATAACAAGCATTTCCCGCCTTCAGCCTCACCTTAATATCCTCTTCAATTTCGTTTTTTCTAGTTATCGTGGACCCTAGATCCTAGATACCTAAATTCTGTACGTGTTCAAATACATTACATATATCGACATCATCGAAATTGTCACTGTTTTTGCAACTAATCATATATTTTGTCTTATCCGTGTTTATTTCGAGCCCTAGTTCTTTACCAGCTTCCATCACCTTTGTTGTATTAAGTTTTATTGTTTCCATGTCTTCGCTAAACAGTACCAAATCATCAGCATACTGATATTGTTCCACCCAGGTTCAAACCTTTTTCGTTATGTATCACCTCTCTAATGGCATGTTGTAATGCCAAATTAAATAGCACAGGTGAAAGATAATCACCTTGTTTTAACCCTGAACGAACCTCAAATTTCTCGGATAAATAATAACCGATTCTAACTATATTGAGTGTTTTCGTCAAGCACATCCTAACTAGATTCACTAATTTTTTGGGGATCCCCTGCTCGATTAGAATATTATATAGTTTCTGGCAGTCAATAGAATCGTAAGCTTTTTTGAAATCAATATACAGCTGGTGAACAACACAATTGTATTCTAATTTTGTCTCTAATATTTGTCGTAATGAAAATATTTGATCAATAGCCAACGTTTCCTCCTAAACCCACATTGGTAGTCTCCGATAATTTCCTTGATATATTCCGTGATTCGATTAGTTAAGATTAACATGAATATTTTATAACATACCGGGAGGAGTGAAATTCCTCGATAGTTATTACAATCCGTCCTAGGACCATTTTTGTGAATCGGAATTCAGGTAATTTCTCATTCTACCATATCTTTTTAAGCAAAAAATGTATTTTATAAACTCCAGCTTCTCCACATGCCTTAATTAGTTCACTATGAATATCACTAAGAATATCATCGGTCCCCGCTGCTTTATAAGATTTTAGTTTTCCAATAGCAATTTCAACTTCCTCTTTACTTGGTTCGTCTATTAATCGTTCGGCACACTGGTACTCTGAAGGGAGAGATAGATCATTATTTCTCATATTTAAAAGATTATGAAAGTGTTTCTTAAACTTACTCGATATGTCTAGAGGGCCAGTGAGGATATTGTAATTTTCATCCCTAATTCCAGTCGTTACGGGTCCTAAAAATTTATGTGATTTATTTATACCTATGTACATGTCTCTTACGTTGTTTTCGATTCTATTGTTTTCTATATCTATAATTTTATCTTTAAGATACTCTTTTTTTTATTTTTGAACAATTTAGTAGTTTCATTCTTTAAGGCCCGGAAATATTCAAGATTGTTTTCGCAAGGATTATTTAGAACTTTTATTTTAACGGATTTTCTTTTTTCGCACATGTTTAAGTAATCTTCATCAAACCACGGTTTGTTATTTTTATTTTCCTTTTTTCCAAGGCACAAGTTACACCGGCTTCTTTAATATTGTCCCTGATCCCTACCCATAACATATCTATATCTATATCATCGCAGTCCTCTTCTGAAGGTTCTAAAAATTCAACCTATTCTTAACTTCAAGCTCGAATTGAGTTCTAATTGATGGATTTTTTAATTTTTCCAAATTAAAATTCTCAGAATCGCAACGGTTTTCTTTACTCTTTTTTATATTAAGTTTTTGCCAAAGTTTCGTGATTACTAATTCATGATCTGACCCACATTCTGCCCCGCGATAAGACCTTACCTTAATTATACTAGTTAGCCACTTATGTTGTATCAAGACGCGATTGATTTGATTTCGTGTTTGCGAATCTGGTGATGTCCAAGTATATTTGTGAATATCCTTATGTTTAAACGTAGTACTTTTAATTACCAGATTTTTCGAGATAGCAAAATTTATTAGTCGAATTCCATTATCATTACTATATTCGTGCAAACTTTCTTTACCAATCGTCGGAAAATAAACTTCTTCCCTTCCCACCTTTGCGTTAGCGTCCCCTAAAATTATTTTCATGCAGCTTCACGGTAGTTTATCATATACCCATTCCAGTTTATCATAAAATTCGCATTTGGCTTCGTCTTCACTGTCTTCGGTCGGACAGTGTATGTTTATCAACGCGATTTTAAACCAACGCCCCTGTAATATGGCCACCGAAATCCTATCGCTAAAGAATTGTACATCCCTCAAAGCGGATAGAAATCTATTCCTAATAAGAAAACCGGTACCTAAACAATGATTTCCGCTTCCTCCGTACCAAAAAGTGTACTTACCTTCCCTTATAGATCCCTCCCCTGGCCAACGAACCTCTTGCAATGCCACGATATCTAAATTGTACCCATTAACCTCATTTGCGACCAATTTTAACCTACCTGCGGTTTTCAAACTCCTTAAGTTCCACGTCCCTATACTTAAATCTCTAGTTTTCAACTTGCGCCATGAATTCCCTAAAGCAGTCCCTGCCCGAAGACCCGAACGGGGGACTAGTTTGCTTCCGAATAATGAGAGTTTTACTTTATGAGGATCCATGACTGTTTGGTATTTTGCAAACTATAAATATGTGAGTAGAGGATTCAATCTTACGTCACACCCTCCGGCAAGTCTGGAGGGCCCCTTCCTCCAGCAAGTCTGGAGGTCACCTCCCTCCAGCAAGTCTGGAGGATCCCTCTCATTGTTGGCAAGTGAGTCCATCGGACCTAGCCGGGAGGAACTTCTGAGGAATTTCCACCGACCATCCCCACATCTGTCACCTGTGGGATGCTCCCTTACGTGGTAATGAGCCCGTGCGAGGAGGCAGTAGTTATGATTACTATTTTAAAATACAGTGACTCACAGTGAAATTGATATACCCCATAGAAAAAAAACTTGAATGGTTACAGTAAACAAATAAAACCAGAAACTCTTCTCCACATTCATTTATAATCTCATTTTAAATATGTATAAACTCAATAAAATTAAAATATATAACTGTGATTATTTAAAAAAATTAATAAAAACAAATGGATAATTTTATCCCACAATCAAAATGATACACCTCAATTCTTATTAACTTTTAAATACTATTAATTTAGCTCAATACCTTGTAGGCAAGCCACTATTTTGTACCACTCCTTTCAGTCTGTTTGCAATGGAGTATACCAACTTTTTGGTGATTCTGGGCTTATCCTGTTTCATTCTTCGAGGAGATATTTTTTAAAGTCTTCTTTGCAAGAAATTTCGTGTTTTCTAATTTCTACCTCCAATTTTGCTGACGAGTGTTCTATCACATTAAGGTCTGGTGACTGTGATGGTGTTTTTATAACTTTAGGGCAGTTATAAAGTAGGCATTCCTTAACTAACATGGCAGTATTTTGGGTCATTATCCTGATAAAACAAAATTTGTTTTTTTGCCCAAATTTGGCGCAATTTCTTTCAAGTTTCTTCTCAAAATGTCTATGTAAACATGTTTATTTACTATACTGTGTGAATATTTCCACTATAAAGTGAAGATTTCCTACACCAGAAGCTGCCATACATCCCCACACCAAGAAACATAACATAAGAAAAGAACATAACACATAACATAACATAAGAACAAGAAAAATAACACTTTACTATGATGTTTATTGATTACAATAAATTATTGTTTTTAATGTCATATAAATTGAACTATTTATTTATTAAATGATTTCTATCAATATCAAGGTGTATCATTTTAACTGTGAGCCACTGTATTTTTGTAAATACTTGAACTTGATAATGATCTGTAATTTTTATTCTGATTGATAATGCTATAACTATAGTATATTGATTTCAGGTTTGGAAAAATAGTTATACTTGAAGTAGGCAATCATATTCCTTGTGCTGTGATGTCAATTTTACAAGAAAATTTTGTTTTCCAAGGTATTTATTATTCCTTTAGGAGTTATGTTGAAATAATAAATAAAATGTATTTGTATTGCTTTTAAACTTGATCATAAGTTCATAGAGATTACAAAGTTGTAATGGCCTAGGACATGTATCCCCCTTTTGTCCATGTTGATTCGTTGAACTTACCGCCTATATGATTCTCTCATCATTGTCTGTTGCTGTTCTATAAATAAATGTATTCTCTCAATGGTGATTTTGATTGCTCACGTTTATTATAATACCAACTTCCTATGTAAATGATACTAGCTCAAGCCTCTAATTCAGAGTTTCATAATTGACAATTGTCATCTCTTACACTAATTAATTTTAGTTTAATAATACACTTGAGGATACGTTTTTTCTCTGTATTACAATACATGAATTATGATTGATAAATGATATGAAACTTATCATTATGTATATTGCTAGTCCAGGATGATTGAGAGAGTGGGAAAGTTTTATATTGGAAACCATTTTTTTATTCTTAAAAAAGTATCTGATTTAAATCTTGGATTTTGTTTGATTAAAAAGCATTCAATACTCAGGATGCCTCCAGATTCCATAGAAAAAAAACCCACTTATAATTGATGAAATATTGGCATAGACTTCTACATGGAATAAAAAAGATTTGATGACATAGTACGTTGACACAGAGGTGTCGGTCCCAGAGTGCCCGATTCTGAATGTTAGGAGTTTGGTTCCTACCTGGTTTGGTTATTATTTATATCTTGACAGCCCTGGAAAATGAATCTCGTCACTTCAATAATGGTTTGTACGCAGCAGTAACATCTATATAGCTGTCAGGTGTTGGCAAAAAGAAACACAAGACCCACTTGCCGGATTAGTTCTCCCACCAATCAGTGTGATCTTGACCTCAATATGGTTAGCAATAGCAGTTATTTAGTTCTTTTTTAATCAGTTCTCTTAGTAGTGTTTAGTCAGAGTTTTTGTAATTATTATTTGTTTTGTAGTTTTTGTAATAACTATATTCCTCTATCAAGTGTGCTGTATTCACTGATTAGGTCAAATCTTCATTTCAATAACACCTCTAGTCGAGAGAAGAGAAGGAAGCAAAACAGGTTTTTCAATTGGCTTAGTTCAGGTAATGGGACATATTGGTTTTCAAGGAGTGGAGAGTGCATGCACAGAGATAGACTTAAATAAGATAAGGATAAGCTACCATCTAACTCAGTACCTCAAGGTGAGGTCATGATAATTTTTATTGCCTCATTTTTGGTATCACATCTCTACTATATTTCATATTGTGTATTAAAGGGGGGCCGGGGTAGCGCTAAGGCGCTTGCAATAGGTAATCAAAGTTAAGCAACATCGAACGTGGTCAATACTTGGATGGGTGACCGCCTACCACGGAAAGACATGTTGCCCGAGATTCCTCTCCCCCCTTGGGTATGTGAAACCCATCAGTCTACTGGAGGCAACTCACGCCACAGGGAGGTGAATGACCCTGTGGTAGACATAGCTCCTGGTCCTCCAGGTTGGGGGTTGGGCATAGGGCTAATAACCCTATCTCTTCAAAAACAACCTATTAAGAAACCTAAAACTAGCCTCGGAAAAATTGACTGTCTTAACACGGTAACGACTCCGGCTTTGTATAATGGACTCCATATCGGATCATGGAATGTTCGGAGCTTATACAGACCAGAAGCCGCCCAAACCGTAGTTAATGATGTAAAAAGTTACAACATTCCGTTAACAGCCATTCAAGAGGTAAGGTGGCCAGATGGTGGGGAATCCTCTATACACATATTCTACACCGGAGAAACGACAAAAATGGGACAGCTGGCACTGGATTTATAGTTAATCCGGCCTCAAGAAAGTCAGTAATAAACTTCACCTCAGTTAATGAAAGGATAAGTGTGCTGCGCGTAAGAGGTCGTTGATTTAATATCAAGATTATTAACGTGTATGCACCAACCGAAGAAAAAGAAGATGAGGCGAAGGACGATTTCTACGATCAGTTAGAAAAAGTGGACCAGGCTCCAAAACATGACAAAATTAGTCATGGGAGACTTCAATGCCAAAATAGGTCGAGAAACCCAATTTAAGTCCATCATCGGAGGCCAAAGTCTCCACGAAACTAACAATGACAATGGAGTGAGATGCATTAGTCTGGCAGCAACTAAAGATCCAGTTGTAAGCAGTACGATGTTCCTGCACAAGGACATACATAAGTATACCTGGACAAGTCCTAAAGGAGCAAAAAGCCAAATCGACCATGTGCTGATAGACAAGAGGCATCAAAGCTCCATACAAGACATAAGGAGTTATAGTGGAGCAGACTGTGATTCGGACCATACTCCAATTAGAATCAAACTCTGTCTGAAGGCTGAAGCGAATCCACTGAATTGGGAACCAAGTGGAAAGACGGAGGTACGAAGCCCGTAATTTGAAAAACCCTGCTGAATTTCAATTTAAAATTTGATTAAATTAAAATTAATTTAATTTGAAAGCTGAATTTCAAATTGAACTGAAAAATAAATTCGAACCCTTGAACTCGGAAGGCCTCACGGTTGACCAACACTGGGAGGCACTAGTCAGGGCTGAAACAAACAGCTAAGGAAGTAATAAGATTTAGGAAAAAAGAAAAGCCAAGAAATGGTTCACAGAAGCATGTGAAAAGGTTGCAGAGGAAAGAAGAAAAGTCTTCTGCTTACAAACTGATCAAGCTATGCTGGACAAATACACAGCCGCCAGCAAAAAGACAAACAAAATAATAAGAATAACCAAAAGAGAATTCCTTAAAGAAAGATTACAAACTGTTGAGGAAAACTGGCAGGCTGGAAATATATGTGAATTCTTCACAGATATCAGGAAAGAAAGGGTAGGATATAAAGCGATAAATACACAAATGCGAGGGAAAGATGGCAAATTGACGGCATCAAAAGAAAAGATCCTAAGCATCTGAAAGGAACACTTCCAGCAGCTGCTTAATCAAGGGCACCCCACAAACGAAGAAGGCATGGACCACACTGAGGACATCGACCCACTTGAGGTTGAAAAACCAGATATTCTGGATGTGGAAATAGCTATTGGCAGGCTTAAAAGAAGAAAGGCTCCAGGGATAGATAACCTACCATCAGAATTGTTCAAGGATGGGGGAGAAGAACTCAGAGCCAAGCTGTTTGATCTAATCCAGAAGATATGGGAGAAGGAACGGATACCAGAAGCATGGAACACAGGGTTGATCTGTCCTATCCTTAAGAAAGGCTCCATGTATGAATTTGGTAATTACAGAGGCATAGCACTTCTTCCAGTCACCTATAAAATAATGACTAATATTCTGCTGAATCGGATATATCCGTATTATAAAAATATAATAGGCAACGATCAAACAGGATTCATTAGAGGGAGGAGTACGCTAGATCAGATATTCATCCTGAAACAAGTACTTGAAAAACGATGGGAAGTAGATCAGGAAGTACACGCATTATTTGTAGACTTCAAATCAGCCTATGACTCCGTTGACAGAAACTGTCTCTGGAAGATCATGACTGAGCTGGGTGTTCCCGGAAAATTAGTGAGGTTGACGAAGGCGTGTACAAATGATCCTAAATGCAGGGTACTAATACAAGGAGACGTATCTAAAGCCTATGAAGTTCGAACGGGTTTCAGACAGGGAGATGGACTCTCGCCGATGCTGTTCAACTTAGCTCTAGTGAAAGTAATAAGGATAACATCACGCGAAGATGGAGGGGTGCACGTTGGAATGAAACGTAAAATCCTAGCATATGCCGATGATATAGCTGTTCTCAGAAGTAATCAAGAGGATATTGAGAGACTCGCTCGGACTCTATTAAAAGAAGCAGAGCAAATCGAACTACAGGTCAATGTAGATAAAACAAAATACATGATAGTTAGCCAAAACATTCCCTCTAATAACATGATCTGCGTGGATTCTAAATCATTCCCAAAAGTAGACAGATTCAAATACCTCGGCTCCACAATAACCTCAATAAATGATCAACTAACAGCCTTATTACAGAAACTCGACTGACCAAAAAACAAATTTTAAAAATACCATAGTACTCTACATATCGTACTGACCATCCTGACTGTAGAGCACATGCCAGTACTGCAGTCATGATACCTCTCTCACCACCTACTCCCATTACCTACTCATGATTTCCTGCAATCCACAGCTATCATAATCAAAACCTTCTTGTTTCTTATTACCCTTGCATCAGTGTATTGTCCTCCAAACCAATCCATCTATAATACCCAATTCAGTTCTCTCCTCAATTCCTTAGGACACCATTTCATCCTGGGTGCAGACTTAAATGCCAAGTATCAACAATGGGGCTCAAGAACCACGAATTCTCACGGCCGAACGCTGCTGTCTGTACTCGATTCCCAACGTTTTAATCTCATTCCCGCGAACTCACCTACCTACTGGCCCACTGATCCTAACCGCCATCCCGATATCCCGATATCAGAGGTCCAGTCAACTGGAAATTCTTCTATCAAATCCTCTCCGATCAAATTGATCTCAGAATAAACCTGAAAAACCCATAAAACCTTGATTATGCCTACATTCCTTTACGGCCAGCAGTCTGGACTGCTTCCTCCCCTAATCATTCCATCATAATTACTCCATTTCCATTTCCAATTTTCTAACATCCCACTGTTCAACAAGGACTCCAAGTTGTTGACCACATATCCTCAGCCCTAGAAAGCAAAGAATATTGCTCGAGAGCATTCCTGGACATCGCACAAGCTTTCAACCGCGTATGGCACACCAGACTACTCTTCAAGCTTAAAATCCACCTACTCCAGTCCTTATATCTAATACTCCAATCTACCTCTCTGACTGCTCCTTTCAAGTTCGCTGAGATACAGAATCTTCCAACTGCCATTCAATCGAGGCGGGAGTTCCTTAAGTTAGCGTCTTGGGTCCCGTCCTCTACATTCTGTTTACCGCTGATATTCCTACTCATCCCGAAACCCTCCTGGCAACATTCGTTGATGACACAGTC